GACGTGGCCATCAAGCTTTTACTTCGGTTGTGTTGTGTTACGCTAATGGGCTTATTAAGGCCCAAATAAAAAGACCCTAAATTTGTTTATTTCTTCTCCGGTTCAGCTTTAATTGGTTATAACCGGTTTATATATTTGTCTACAGTAGCGTTGATCATTTACATATACAAAAGACTTTTTAGCTTATAATAACTTTGTTACAACACTCTCTCTAATACAAGATCAAACTCTTATAATCAAGATAATGAATCACACTAATATGTAGATTTTGATCCATAGCAACAAACTATAACAGATTTTAAAAAGAAAGCAATCCGAAGATTCGAGTAAGTAGTCAGAAAAAGCTTTGATCATATCAAAGAACATTGCAGAAACTAATCTTCCTCTTTTGTTTCTTTGTCTTTGAAGGAGGCTGTAAAACTACTTTTATCGCTGCATCAAATACCGCTTTTACATTCTGCAAAATCATCGTCACAAGCCATTCTTTAGCAGATTTGATTAAAGTATAAGAAATGTAACTAAAGTATTAATGGTTTAGTTACCTCTTGTGTTTTTGAGCTGCATTCTATATAAGCTAATGCTCCTATCTCTTTTCGTAGTTCTTGACCCTAAAAAGAAACAAAAATCTTTGAGGTCATAAAAGAGCTTGATTCTTTTAAAATGGTTCTTTGATCATACACAATTGAAGAAGAGTGTTATGGAAAAACTTACTTGTTCTGTAGAGATTGTACAAGCACCTGCATAATTCATCGAGAATTGCTTGTTTTCTCTTAGATCTGCAAGAACAAGAAGTTTGAAATCTTATGGTCTCTTACTCTTTTCGATGTGAGATTTCCTAACAATTCGGATTGAGTCATTTTTTTCTTCACCTAATTTAGTTCCCACGAGAACAATAGGCACGGTCCGGGCATAATGTCGCAGCTCGGGAACCCACTGCGATAAGAAAAATCGATACCACAAGGCCAATGAGAATGGTGTGCTAAAGCTACAACATTCCATTGAACTTTAAAAAGAAAGAGAGAGAAAGATTTAAAACCTTTTTAGCAATGTTCTCAAAGCTAGGTTTGCTAATAAGTGAGAAAGCAAGAATGAAAACATCTGCTCCTCTGTAACTCAATGGTCTAAGCCTATTGTAATCTTCTTGCCCTGTAATAATATAACACAAACAAGATTCATTTTTGGTCTGACTTTAGTTTTGAATACATATGACCAAAATCTGATAGTGAATCCAAGAACCAAAACAATTTTGCATCAACATGTAAAGATCCTTTTTTTTTTTTCCAACTACTCAATAACTACAAGATCCAGAGAAACTAAGTCAAAAGTAACAATTCTCTTAAAGGGTCAAAAGATAAGACCCTTTACCAGCAGTGTCCCAGAGACCAAGATTGACAGTTTTGCCATCGACTAAAACATTTGCACTGAAATTGTCAAACACTGTTGGAACATAATCCTGTAATTAAAGAGAAAAACATTCACCAAAATATTCAAAAGCAAATCCA